TATATTATCATAATTTAACATTGGCAGTTCATACCCGAAATAAAATTCATGGTAAAATATCACATTTTCATGATCAATGCATTATAATTTCATACTATGACATATCAATGACATGTCAATTTATAAAAAAAATGACATAATATCTTGCTGATATAAACAAGGTCGACTTATCAAAAGTCTTCCTGATGACGTATAAAACATCAATGTATAATTTCATGCATGTATTGCACTCACCTTGACACTTTATATATCCAATATATGTGCCTCGCTATGTTCCACAATAAACCCTTTTTATATTTGACTTGCTTCAATAGCAAATCAATCACAATCTGTATAAATCACAAATTCATAATGATACATATGTTAGTATTTTACTAACATAAACATATCCCAAAATAACTCCATAATATACTTGAAACTCATTTTGTATCAAAATACTTAATACTTAATAATTCCTTTTAACATTGGAACCAACTTTTCCAATTTACTCAAAATGGTCCTTCACCATTTTATCACTTAGGTTTTTAATATCAAAAATTCCAGCATTAAAATTATTACCATTCAAATGCTTTTACAAAAGCATAATTACATTTAAGTTCCTCAACTATGCAAACGTTGTACTTAAATCACTAATCTTTTCAAACTTCCAAAATAGTCATATTTCACGTTTAAACACTCATTTCAATTCCAAAACAATAGTTTCCAGTATAGTACATCAACTATTAGACAATTATACAACCATTCCCAACTTTTTCCAAAATTATAAATTGGTCCCTCAACTTTTTGAAAATTACAAAATGGTCCCGAATTTTCTAAGGCCTGTAAAATACTTTCTATATCATTTCCATACCTTATATAATTTTTTCATAATTTTTCTCATCCTTTAAGACCAAAGCCTAATGGTTTAAAGATCAAAAACTAGGTTTTCCATGATTTTGCTCTATTTTGATTTAATTCAAGCATGAAATCAACTTTAAATCAACCTTATAACATATCTATAATCAAATCCCTTATCAATTCTTATCAGAACAAAAAGTTCTACAAAGTTATTCTTTTGGCTGAATTTTAAAAAATTATTCTAAGAAGATTGAACATGTTATAACTATCAATCAAGCTTGAAAATGAATCTACAACCTCAAAAACATCAAGATTCATCATCAGTTTCATGATCCCTTATATGAACACAAACCCTTAGATTTGATATCTTTGAAATCCAGCAAGATTAGAAAGCAATCTTGGTACCAAATGATAGCATTTTTCGCGTAGATCACTTTCTTATTTCACGACATAACTCCAATTCCAAAGGAATTAGCTCAAAAATTGAAAATAAAATATTTTCTTACCTTGGAAGCTTTCTCACGTGAAGATGCTTGAGAAGATGAACAATTGCATGATATTTTTTATTGATGTCATGCTTACAATCCTTTAAAAATATTATTTAAATCATTAACTTAAGAAAATACCAATATACCCTTAATATAACTTCATAATTACCATAAAACCAATATACTTATCCTTATCATCATTCAAATCATATCACCTGAACCTTATCTTCATCCATAAGTCAAATATGAACAAAAAATATCTTAGTTTACCGATTTGCCCTTGCAATTTTCTAAAAATTACAATTCAGTCACTTTAATCAAACAATTCAAATTAAACATGGAATTAAACCATTAAATATTATTTTCCAACATTTTAAAAATGTGAAAATAATATTTTTATTTACTTATTTTCGTGACCCATATGTAACTTTTTAAAATTATATTTTGGTCCCTAAACTTTTCAAAGTTTATACTTTGGTCACCAAACTTTAACAAATTTATAATTTGGTCACTAAATAAATCCATTTATGAAATAACATTACTTTTGGGAAAATTTGCATTTTGATCATTATATAAATTTTTTGGGTACTACAAGTTGGGTCCCGTAGACTGTAATCGGCAAATAACCGAAGCAAAAACATCTTCTGAGGATAAAGTTGAATTTGAGGCAAAAGCTGAAGCCCAAGGTTAATTTCACTGTAAGTTTCTCTTTATCTTAATTACTTTAAATTTAAATATTTATTTATTTTATCGTTATCTTTTATTTTTATCATTATATTTTATTTAATTTATTTATTTTATCTTTATCTTTTATTTGATTATAATCTTTTATTTTAAAAACAATTTTTAAACCCCCTATTTAATCTCATCCAAAAATCTATCTTATCTCATCCTTATCTAAATCAGAAATTTCACTTCATTGGAGACATCAAGATCCCTGTGGATCGACCTTGCTTTCCAACAATACTCTCTCTCTCTTTATTTATTATTTATTAATAAACTGAAATTATTTTGACAGTATAACGACACTAGTCACAAATATATGGTTAAGTTACCTGCAAAGTCTCGCAGAGTTGAATGGAGCTCCAAGAAGACTCATCAAGTGGTATTTTGAATTCAAAATCATCTCTAGCTCTTACAGTTGAAGAAGATGATGTGAGAACCACGCGCCTCAGATAAGGGTTCTTCTTATATGAGCGTAGCACGTTCACTGTGCCCTTCACAGCCGGTTCCAGGATTTCCGTCTGATGACAACGGTGAGAAACAGGAAAACAAAATCCTTCAAGGTTTTACATTTCCTTTATACCAATTTAGTTGACAAAAAGCTATTTGTTAAATTGATACTGATACGGGACGCTAATTTCCAAAATTACACGGTACGATTTGATGAGGGTAATATAAGTAAATTTAAAATTTCTAACTATTACAAAATCACATATTTTACTCATATTTTGCTTGTACTATATTCGTTAAAACAAAAATATTTTGAGTTTCCAATTCCAATTTAAGTTTTTCAAGATGCATCAAAATATAACTGAAAAACTATTAAGATATCACAACCCAAAAATATTCTATTCGCATACAAAAATTCATCGTAAATCAGGTGATATTTAAGGATTAGAAATCGATTTTAATTTCTTATTTAAAATTATTTTCTAAATATTTTCTTAAACTAAATCTAAAAATAATTTTTAATACACGCCTGAAAATCAAAGGATCTCGTGAGAAATCTCTCCAACATGCTCAATTAGTTCTGGTCTATCACTTCAATATGGAACATCCCGATAGGTGTCCAAATTGTGCCTATTCTATACCCATGTCAGAGACGTATCGGATAGTTGTAATAACATTAAGTTGACGTATTCGAGCAACATAGAAAAAAGCTATTGTTTCATTGAAAATCAGAAACGGAAGAAAAGAAGATGCCTTGGGATCAAATGAAGGTTTAATGACGGGGGAAGCAGTGTGGAAGACGCCCTCGCACCCCATGATCGCATTGTTGAAGCTGTCGTCATCCATCAGATCGGACCTCACCAATTGGAGTCTCAACAGATGCGCTAATTTCTTCTCATTTGCTGCCCCTCATGCCCATTATAACCACACAATTTAATGAAGACGCTTAACCAATCATGAAGCCAAGTAGCCTGAAGCACCTGTCACGCAAACTTTGCCTTTCACCTCATCCATTTCCACTCCCCCTGAATTTTGATGGACTGGCTGCTTTTTATATGTGCACCAATGCACAGCATGCATGAATGTTTTGTCTCGATAGGTGAGAGTTGAGGAAGAAGAAGGTAAGCCACTTGATGCTTGTGAGTTTAGCTAGCGTAGATATTGATACAAAATTATAATTAATATGTAGTTTACATTAAAGTATAATTTTATTGGTTAGAAATTTCTTATTGACTAAATTTATTTGATAAATAAATAATAGCTTCTCTTGGATACAGTAAATGGCAGCAATACTAGTCCCAAAACTGGATGTTTAGTACCCTCTCAATTGGTACACATTACACACCTATTGGCATCTCTCCCCATGAAGGACAGTATATAGCTGTTGTAGTATAGGTAAGATAAGAAAATATATTTGAGTAAATTCAGTGACCGAATTTGGTGACAGCATTTAGAGGTCAACTTAAAACTTAACAAAATTAGAGATTTAAATTAAAATTTTTAAAAATTATGAATTGTTCAATTTTCATTTTTAAAAAAAAATTAAAGTCTAACTAAAAATTTTAAATGCTTTTTTTTAATTAATTAGGAAGAAAATTAACTTCTTACTTTAATTATGATAAAATCAGATTCTGACTTGAAAGATAAAATAAGAACACTCAAATAAAATATAACAAATGTAAACGAGTTGGTACAAATTGAATCAATCATGGCACATGACATAGATCCAACATGATATTTTCTTGTCAATTTGATGAGAGGAAACTTGTGGTAGAAAATCAAAATGTTTATAAATGAAGGGACAGTTGAATGATCGGGTTTGGCCCTATATTCATTTCTTGATGAACAAAACCCTCCACCATGTTTGTGGCCCTTCACATTGATTAGTTGCTAGGTTTATATGCATATATTGCAATTACGTCATGTAAGATTTTTTATTTTATTTTAGTTTTACATCAATTTAAAGTTATTGGATGAAAAGATATAATATTTTTTCTATTCATTCACTAGTTGATCTAATGAGATGAGGAACTAAGTACCTTAAGCAAGATCAGGGTTCAAATCCTGACGTTTGCGAATGGTGCAAACTGGATTAAGAGGGTCGTCTTCGCCTCTACAGTACCCAATTTAGATTAAGATTAATCGATCAATAGATCAGATATCAATATGATTAATTAAAAAAACTCACATAGTGTAATTAAATCTGACCTATATATATATATATTTTGCTCAAGCAACACAACAAGGTTTTCTCCAAGTGAAAGCGAGATTTATCTTCAGATAATTTCTTACATTTGGCGTCTTTGTAGCCTCACAAAAGTACATGTTTCTGATCTCGACAAATAGTAATTTTTAATGATTGTAAATGTTAGACCGAGATGAACAAGTACGCGTGAATATAATGGATTAAATGAGTGCCGAATGAACAAATGAATGGCTTTGATGCACGTAGAACATAAGGCTCTGATGGAAATTAGAAAGTTATGGGAACACTGCCTATGGTTATGGCGTTAGAATTCCGAAGTCTCTATTTATTGAACATTATCCTGATGTTAGCCTTTTTTTCTCCTTCCTTTTACACCCAACCCGGGAGGAACCAGAGGTCCAGAACCAGAAACTTAACAGATATGTTTCTTCATGTGTAGAGAGAGAAAAAAAGGAGTCTTGAACGTGTTTGACTTTTTAACAGGACCCTGGAAGCTTCTGCTGCTTCATTTTCCTCATCCATTGACCCCCATTGTTGTTCAAGTTTGAGCTCATTTTCTTCAGAAATTACCACTGGAGTTTGCTTGTTATCTACGTTTCGTCTGCAAAGGTCATTACTACTGTAAACTCTTTTCAATTCTCCAACTACAAGCTCCCTATTCGATTAATTGTTTGCTCCGAATTTCATTTTTTGCTTAGTAGATGGGTTTATATGTTGCAGAACTGAATCAGTGTCACACAACTTTTCTGCATATCTAGTTCTGACCCTAAGACTCATTTATACTGATTCTGACTCGGTGTTGTATGCAGCCTCGCGATTAATTATTCACCAAAGAGAAGTAGGAAATAGTGGTACCAATGGCCGGGGGACAGCCGAGTTCATCCGCAGGTACTCAAAATGCTGGACAATCTAGTGCTACAGTTGAGGGTTCCATTTCAGTGACTAAAGTGCAAGAGGAAGGATCATCGACCGACGCCGTTTCTAAAGAAAGGAAAGAGCCTGCGGACAAGTGGATGGCTTTCGGAGGAGAGGCTTCCGGCAAGTCCAACATCGGAAGCTTTGACGACTCCATCAAAAACTTGAATGGCGGTGGAAAAGATCCAAATGGGAAGTCCTCTCATAGAATTCTAACTGAAGCCAGCATAGCTGAAAGAACTGCAGAATGGGGTCTTGCATTGCAGACAGATGCTGGAGATGGTAGTTTCAAAGTGATCAGCAAAACGATGAAGCCGAGTGGAGAAGGCAATCCCAACAAATACTCATTAGACAAATTTTCGGTTGGATCGGCAAGGACGTCAGATGAATCAAGTTGTGGATTGGAACAAGTTCCTAGGGTGTCACAGGAGCTGAAGGATGCTTTGGCAACCCTGCAACAAACCTTTGTTGTATCCGACGCCACAAAACCCGACTGCCCTATAATGTATGCAAGCAGCGGATTTTTCACCACGACCGGCTATTCCGCAAAGGAGGTCATAGGAAGAAATTGGTAAGTTCTTGCTTCTAAATATGTGATATGACTGGAAAGTCTTCCAACTTCCTAGGGGACAACTTGCAATCATTCTACAGCACAAAATCATTGCAATTTTATATGCCTGTCCATAACACATGATTTTTCACCACATTTTTCGTTTAGCCGTTTTCTACAAGGACCGGACACGGACCAGAATGAGGTCGCCAAGATCAGAGATGCAGTTAAGAATGGAAAAAGCTATTGTGGCAGGCTCTTGAATTACAAGAAAGATGGAACTCTTTTCTGGAATCTACTCACTGTGACTCCCATAAAAGATGATAATGGGAAAACCATCAAATTCATTGGGTTAGTTTTCCTTAAATTTTCTTCATAATTATCTTCATACAGATACCGAATTTCGAACTAAACTATTCTTTTTTCCTTCCCAAATGCATGCATAGCTATTAAGTGCTGTTTTATGCAGAATGCAGGTGGAGGTCAGCAAATACACAGAAGGTGCCGTTGAAAAGGCATTGAGGCCTAATGGACTGCCACAGTCGTTAATTCGTTACGACGGTAAATTATACTCCAGTTGTCGGGGTGTTTTGTGATGTGATTTCAGTTCGGATATGTAATAATTCCACATTTTGGAACAGCTCGTCAGAAGAATAAAGCTTTAGATTCCATCACAGAGGTTGTCCAAACAGTGAAACACCCTCAATCCCACATTCAAACAAGTAATGATGCCACTAACAAGCTTGAAGAGTCTGAAAAATTCAACCTTGATTATGTTCTGCCTAAATCTGCTGAAATTGAGAACAGTAGTGCCCATGGGAGATATACTCCTCGGTCCGACATCAGTGCTGCTACTCCTATGCAGGATATTGACAAGAAAGATCGAAAATCAGTGCACATTTCTTTAGTTGGGTGAGTTTTTCTGGCTTAAGTTCTCTCAAGTATGCATTACTTTGCCACTCAAATTTGATTTAACTATGAGCACCATGTGGATCTGAAATCGGTATATCTGATGCATGATATCTTCCCCCAGGTCAAAAGGCAGGTCTTCCAGCTCTGAAGCCATACAGGAAAAACAACCAATTGTCGAACCAGAGGAGTTAATGACCAAAGACATCGAACACACCGACAGTTGGGAACGTGCTGAAAGGGAAAGGGACATACGCCAAGGAATTGATTTAGCAACAACATTGGAACGCATCGAAAAGAACTTCGTTATCACCGATCCTAGACTCCCTGATAATCCCATTGTAAGGAAGACTCTTTCAGTATCATTTTCCTTACCCAACTCAATCTAAATTCACAAGGTAAAGCACATATATCGTACCTGAAAAACCACTACAATGTTGCAGATATTTGCATCTGATAGCTTTCTTGAATTGACTGAATTTACACGAGAGGAAATCTTGGGAAGGAATTGCAGGTACATAATATGTACTATAATAATTTTGATATTTCAGCCAACCATAAAATATAAGTTGCTTTCCATTGTTTGTTAGATGAATCGTATCAAACCAATAACATGGCATTTGTTATAACAGGTTTCTTCAAGGACCTGAAACAGATCAGGCGACTGTCTCAAAGATAAGAGATGCTATCAGAGAACAAAGGGAAATCACTGTTCAGTTGATCAACTACACAAAGAGCGGTTCGTGATATATATATATATATATATGCATACTGACGGAAACATCCTCTGATTGAATTGTTACAATTTGTATGACTTGCAGGCAAGAAATTCTGGAATTTATTTCACTTGCAACCTATGCGTGACCATAAGGTGGTTACAGTTACATCTGGCAATCCGTTTATCTATGTCATGTTTGTGTTTTCCTTACATGCCATGATGATTTTCACATTTTCGCGTGGTTTTTTTAAATGTTGTGTTTTAGTTATTTTCCTCAGAAAGTCTCGTGACAAACTCCCGGTGATTTACAGGGTGAACTTCAATATTTCATAGGCGTCCAACTTGATGGAAGTGATCATGTCGAACCCCTACGATACCGCCTCTCTGAGCAGACAGAGCTACAAAGTGCAAAGTTGGTCCGTAATCATTTTCTTCTTCTAATAATATACAGATTGGAAATGCCTGTCCTTTTTCATAACATACCTTCGATGCTGAACTAGGATATCATTTTCTTTAATCAGGTTAAAGCCACAGCAGAAAATGTCGATGAAGCAGTTCGCGAACTTCCTGATGCCAATTTGGTAAGGTATTCTTTCTTTCTCATAGAAATATTTAGAGCATTTTCTTAATTATCGATGTAAAGGTAACAAATATGTTCTTCCAATTGGATTGAGAAATCAAAATCTCAGTGTTAACGTTGTCAATATTTTTTCAAGTTGCATGGAACAAAGCATTCGATAAGTTATAACTAAGAGCTGTCTGATATGAATCATAGTTGATGAGACTTTATATATATATATATATATATTATATATATATATATATATATATATATATATATATTGGTAAAATGTTCAGAGACCAGAAGATTTGTGGGCAATCCATTCTCAACCAGTCTTCCCAAGGCCTCACAAAAGAGATAGTCCTTCATGGCTAGCAATTCAGAAGGTACCACTTTTTCCATTTTGTAAACTCATTATTTCTTCTCTTATGTAGTCTCTGATGTTTTACATGTAATACAGATCACTTCTCGTGACGAAAAAATTGGGCTGCATCATTTTAAACCCATAAAACCTTTAGGCTGTGGTGACACTGGCAGGTAGTTCTTTCATGCCACTGTGTGCTTGTACCTCAAATCATTAGTTATGCCATGAATTCTTACCACTGTGTGCTTGTACCTCAAATCATTAGTTATGCCATGAATTCTTACTTCATTTCCCTGTCTAATCTAAATCATTGGGTTGCAGTGTTCATCTGGTGGAACTGAAAGGTACTGGAGAATTATTTGCTATGAAGGCAATGGAGAAGTCCGTAATGTTGAACCGTAACAAGGTCTGCTTATTGCATAATTTGTTGTACATATAAATACTCATTTCGAATCCGAGTTGGATTATGTATATGAATATTGATGCAAGCAATTGTACAGGTTCATCGAGCATGCGTTGAAAGGGAAATCAGCTCACTCCTGGATCATCCTTTCCTTCCCTCTTTGTACACCTCTTTTCAGGTTTTCCTGTTCAAATTCTTAGCTCATCCTATAGTATACAAGTTTTCTGGATTCTTAAGTTGTAAATGAGTTACACTAATAATTTCTTGATCTCCTCAGACTCCCACACACGTCTGTTTGATAACGGACTTTTGCCCTGGTGGCGAGTTATTTAACTTGCTCGATAAACAGCCTATGAAATTCTTCAAAGAAGATTCTGCAAGGTACACCTAATTCTCAATGGCCTATTACCCTTTTTTCCTCTAGTCAAAATCAGTGGGATATCTGGTATTTCTTGTATGCTCAATTCTTATGCAGCAGAGGTTGTTTAAGTTGATGTTGTTTTTTTTTCAGGTTTTATGTAGCAGAGGTTGTCATTGGTCTGGAATATCTTCATTGTCTAGGTATGTATAGTAAATCTACTATCTAAACTTTGAAAACTTATTCAATTCACAAAAATTGAATCGAACAATGCCTCTATGCAAGATTTAAGCAACTGTTATCTGATACAATGCTGACTATGGTTCATTTGTAATGGCTTGTGATAGGAATCATATATCGGGATCTGAAGCCGGAAAATATTCTACTGCAGAAAGATGGACATGTTGTGTTAACGGACTTTGATTTATCATTTATGACTCCCTATAAGCCCCAGGTATGTGTGTTCTCAATTCTGGTTTGGATTTAGATATATGGCGCATTTGATAATATATGATATAGGTTTTTGCATGGAATTAAAGGTGAGGGTGATATTTACAGGTTTTAAAACATCCTTTGCCTAAGAAGAGAAGGAGATCCAGGAATCAACCTCCTCCAACGTTTGTTGCAGAACCAACTACGCAGTCGAATTCATTTGTCGGAACTGAAGAATACATTGCTCCGGTATGCAGTATTCATTAAATCCGATTTCTATCAAGTTCCCGATCGAACACAATGCGTACGGGAAAAAGAAAGAGATTGGAAGCAAAATAATGTTTAGTCCGGACTTGTAGTATTAAAACATGGTTATATTTTACAGGAAATCATTACAGGTGCTGGACACAGTAGTGCAATCGATTGGTGGGCACTGGGTAAGTATAGTATGGTATACAGGGTGAAGACATAACTTGTTTTCTTCCAAATTGCATTCACATGTACATTGATGGAATTATATAGGTATTTTGCTGTACGAGATGCTGTATGGGCGTACGCCTTTCAGAGGTAAAAACAGGCAGAGGACTTTCTCCAACATCATGCATAAGGACCTTACCTTCCCAAGCAGCATTCCCGTATTATCTCTACCCCCATCCTGGTATTTTAAATTTTGGCAGACTATCATTTTTTTTCCTTTGTAACTCAACTATTTTTTTCTTTCAAAATCATATCTAACGTTTAGTTTTGGTTTTATTTTAATTACCCACCATTAAAAGACTAACAATGATGTAAATATGCCATCATAATATAATGTCGACTCATTATTGAAAAAAATTAAAAATATCATATCAGTAGTTCTGTTAATTTTTTAACGAGTGACCAAAACGTAACATTAAATATGATTTTAGAAAAAAATAGCTGAACGACAAAAATGGAATAAAAGTGTTGGTTACGATTATAAACTTATATTTTCTAGTTGTAGCTGAAAACATAGTTACTTTTGCAGGTTAGTCTTGCAGCGAGGCAGTTGATTAATGCATTGTTGAACCGAGATCCAGGCAGCCGGTTGGGGTCGACTACAGGTGCCAATGAAATAAAAGAACACCCTTTCTTCCGTGGCATCCATTGGCCTCTTATACGCTGCATGGTAATACATATATGCATCCAAAACTTTCTCCCTCTACTAACATCTCAAGCAGGAATTTAAATTATAGTTACGATAATACTTGTATTTATCATAATCATGGCAATAATAACTCATATTACGGTCATCATACTGTAGTCAAAGATAAATGTATGATTTTATGTTAAGGAAACGAATTTGAGCTTAAAGAGGCAAATTTGAATTTATAAAATTTAAGGACGTGAAAACAGAGTTTCAATAGAAAATACATAAAAAAAAATTAAAATATATGACAATTTTAAATTTTCAGGGGACCAATGCTACTACATGCCCTCTTGATCCATCTCTGATTGTAGTTATACAATAATAATTTCAAATGATATCTTTACTACTATATAACAGCTGCTATTCTAATAATATATTGCTATTTAAATCCCGACATATTATTTGTTTTCAATTTTTTTTTTGAATATTTGTTTTCAGTTCTTAGATGTTCCTTTGGTTGCCTGCTATAATTGATATTTTGATTGGTTTGCAGAGTCCACCGCCATTAGAGGTGCCACTTGAATTAATAGGGAAAGACAGTGACGCCAAAGATGTAAATTGGGAAGATGATGGGGTGCTCCTTACTTCTATCGACATGGATCTTTTGTAATGCTTCCTATTTTCTTAGCTTTATAATCTGTGTCTGCGTTGCCATACCCACCAAACTTCATTGCTTCAAATAATGTTCTTTTTCTTAAAAAAAAATAAATACATAATAATAAATTTATCTCCTAGTGTTTATGAATTTTATCAATTTCAAATTTATTTTTTATTTTATTAATTTGACTCCAACATTAAAAAAAGAGTATGGATCATCATTTTCTAATATAAAAAAAGAGTATGAATTTTATCAATTTCAAATTTATTTTTTTATTTTATTAATCTTTTGCAGTTTCCACCAATGAATCCTACAACTCAACAAACTTGTTCCCTAAGAATTACGACAAAACAAACAGAATCGGACAATGAAAAATTATATTTTACCTGTGCAGCTACTAAACGTGCAACAGTTTTCTTGTTCGACTCTTGAAGTTCACCAGCAAGTAAGAGTTCGTCCAATATAAAGTAAGCCTTCAATGTCAAACAGTTAAGAAATGATATGAACCACATAATTCTGGGGAATCATTAGAAATGTGGAAGAAAGTTCATGGTCGGTCCCATACTAGAAGAAAAGGCATATGAACCACTCAATAACAAGCATAATGCACACTCAATTTAGAAAGATGCAAGGTATATTTCTTAAAAATGATTGAGACTGGAGGGATACCCTGGAATGGGAGAAAGCATGGAGAGTTAATAGTTTATTGTTTCAAGAAATATAAAGGGAAGAAAAGGAGGATACAGATAGTGTGTTAAGGGATGGGAAGAATGAAAAGGTAGTGGAGTGGGAGGATACAGAACGACGAATTGAACACAAGATGTAAAATTCAGGAAAGAAAATATGTAGTGGAAAGTAAACCCCGTCCCTAGTACATTGAAAGCATAACAAGCATATGCGTCTTACCACTAGAAAACAAATGCACGCCTAAGGCCCAGGGATTTAAATTGCGGTTGCGGTAGTGTTTTCAATTGCATTGCGTTTATCACGATTGCGGGTATAGCAGACGCTATTGCAGTGACTGTGGGTATCGGGGTCATGCAATAACGATTTCGGACTGCATCTATATAGTGGGCGCTATTGTGGTAGCAGACTGCTATTTAAATCCCTCTAAGACCATATTATCTAGCACATGGAATACATCTTGTGCTCTTAACGACACTAACGTACCTTATGAAAATTATATATCAAGTCCAATTCACAAACCCGGATATAAAATGAATTCATAATCAATTGTCAATATAAAAGAACCATTAATACTCCCAGCAAAGGCCAAGTTTAATAATGTTCACTCACACTGCCAAAGTATCGAGCAAGAACTTCCACATAGTGATGAATAATTTCTAGAATCTCTAATTCATTGTCATCCTCGTCAATGCACATGCAGAAGTAAAGACTAGCATATCTGCACAATTTATCCCAGCACAGTAACTAATCATTGAAAAGGTCAAATAAACTCATGGTAAAATGAACACATTATAGCATTACCTTTTATAAACAACTCTAAGTCCTCTCCATTCCACAAAATTACAGAGTTTTGGCCCTCTTGTGAGAATCAATCCACTGAGCTCACGGATAACCTTCTCAAATGCATTGCTGTAAAGCATTAATACCATAAAGACGAGCAGATTCAAAAGAACATCAAGAAAATACTAAAGACAAGGAGCTGAAAAAGAAAAACAAAAAGCACCTGGATCTTATAAAGACTATGACCTTTATGGTGCAAACTTTGCATAAATAATGCAGAATTGAATCAAATGCGTTGGCCATACCTTTGTTCTTTCTTTCTGAGAATAAGGAGAATACCATTTTGTCAATCTAACTTTCCCTTGTCGACTAATTAGAAGTACAAAGTGAATCTGAAACACAAAAAGGCTAATTGATTCCAGATAAAAGCAATACAACAACCTAAAATGAAGCTTGGTTTTAAGTTTCTGAAGTAAAATTAAACAAATAAAACAGATTAGTAATAGCAGTGATAAGCAAGCGCAAAATGAATTAAAGATGACATTTTGCTAGCACTGTGAGAGCTGAGAGTTACCCCGTATAACGTGTAACTTTGCAGTATTAACATAAAAGATTTCTAGTCCTAGCAGATCTTCAAGAAACCCTTATTCCTGCTCGTAATGTTAAATATATATAATGTTGTAGTCATTACAATTAGCACATTTAGCTTAGTCATCCTATAGCTGGTGCTTCACTGACAAATTTTTGGATAATTAAAGCATACATCATGGCATTTCCGTTATATATCACTAATAGTTTCGACCCACTATTTCTATAAAAAAAAAGAAGCACATTGACATAACAAGTAAATGCGCCACAGATATCATTTTAAAACTGCAAACAGAATATTTTCATAGAAATCACTTGAAATAACAAAAAGTAGCTCAACCGATGAACATTCAAATTAAACCACGAACTGAAATGTTAAGTATAATTGAATATCATAAGAAATCAGGAAAAAAAGTTCAAGTAAATAAGTTGAAATAAGGAAATAAGCTGGATATAATAATAATTTGGAAGAACCATCCAAATGAAGCTATTACAACACAAAAAGGAAAACCCTTCCATCAAAATCTGTAATTCATACAAGAAGTTAACAACAATCATTTACCGTTCATTTTTAAAATGGTTAGTGAATAATTTATTTATCCCATTTAACAAACAAAGATGTGTGGTTAAGATGATGTCTGTAACTTCAAAAAAAAATTACAGACTGTGATCTCAGTTAAGTCTATAAATACACCATGGATGAAAAGACAAACGGTTGAATCAAACTGCAGATCCAATGGGATACGAAGAGACATAACAAAAAGAAATTTAAAATCACGGGAACAAACACACAGAGAGAGTACATACTAAAATTCATGATAATGCGAATCATGAAACTAATCAGCGCCAAGAAGCATATCCATTATTTGGAGATGAGAATGAGGACGAAATTCGATTATAATCCAGCTAATAAATCATAACAAGAAGATCAAATATATGAGAAGGAAAGTTCGTTTACCATCGTTGAGGTTAGGCAGCGGGGAGTTCCAAACAAAAGGCTCAGAACGGTTTCTCCGCTGCTTAACTGTTTTTATAGTTGTTTGGATTAAAGAATTCTGATTATTTGAGCCAAACCCAAAATGAGAATCACTTTATGGCCCGTTATTTGTAGGCCACCCTTCTCACCTTATTCGTTTTAACTTCTAATGAATTGTTTCAAGGCAAGTAAATTCCAATTTATAAAAAAAATCAAATAAATTCTGACTATTCATCATTTTTTCTTATTTATTTAATTTTTTAATCTAAATAAACATTCTCTGTGTTTTGGTTTCTTTTTTTTCCCGCATATTCTTAAAGCATTTGTTTTTAAAAAAAATTATGACATGATTGTTAGTCTTCTTTTATGGTTCAGTTTTCTCTATATCATTATGATAATTTGATGTTTCGTGTTCCTTATAAGAAAATGTCAACAGTATTTCATAGTTAAATTCACTTTTGAGACAATCTATCTATGCATGCAAAATCATCCATAGAGTTATGTCAGATTGATTCTCTCAATTTTTACAACTACATCAATAATGTATCTAGTTTTAAATAGAGACATAGAAATTATTGATAGTTGTAAGGTTTGTTTTAGAGATCAAACGTATATTTGAGAGAAGTGTTCATTTTATTTTCTTTGTATGCTTTGAATTTTGATGGTAGATTGTATTGTATTTATTGTATTTTGTTTTTTTTATTTAATAAAATTATAATATTTATTTAAATAAATAATTATACGAAACAATATTATTATCAGTCAATATTACATAAAGTCTTGTGCATTGATAGTTAATTTCATGGAGACTCTTTGGGCGTACGTTAGCAGGCCTAATGATCTCTTAGATTTTCTTCCTTTTTTCTAATCTTTATTCGTTCTCATTATTTGGGGGTTTTCTTGATCTATTATTGTTATGGAGTCGGGCTCTTTGAGTCTGGATTAGAAGGATTTGTTTGTGGGTTCAAAGGATCAAACTCTTGATTTCTTTCCCCCTGAGCTAAAGAATGGTGTGGCTACCGTTAAGCCTCCGCCTGAGGTGACTGATGAAGGTATTACGGACTAGAATCATCCCCTAGTAGGTTAATTTATTGGATCGGCTCCCAGTTTTGGATCTTTGCAGCGTATAATTGAATCGATTTGGGGGATTCCTTCTCAGGTTAAGTTTTGTATCGCCGACCCTAATCTCTTCATTTTTTTCATTCTTAGATGTTGGATTGAGGGACTGGGTCCTGGATAATGGACCTTGGCATGTTCAGAACAAGCCATTGTTCTTGAGGAGATTGTCACCTGGTATGCAGAAGCTCAGTTTTGACCTCTCATGTGTAACGATTTGGGTACAGCTTTATAATGTCCTATTAGAACTCTATTCCCAAAAGGGACTAAGCTACCTTGCTAGTGCCTTAGGTAATCTTTTGTACATGGACACTATAACAGCTTCAAGAGAGATACTCGAATTTGCTAAGGTGTGCGTGGAAATTGAAACTGGTGTTATCATTCCAGATTTCATTCAGGTTATCTTAAAGGATGGTTCCTATGTGAATGTGAGAGTTCATGTTCCTTGGTTGCCCGAATACTGTACTAAGTGTAAATCATTTGGGCACCATGTCAACTCGTGTTCCGATGTTAGGCAACCCCTTCAGAAACCAAAAGAGGTGCAAATTTGGAGGAAAAAGGATAGCAAGGTCATAGAATCTGATAGTAAGGGTAACTTGCATGTTACTGTTACAGCTGGTACAGGGACAACTGATGCATCTATTGAGACTAATCAATGTTCAGTCCTGTCTCCTGATTCTGTTTGTAACTCTAAAGAATTACTAGTGGGTAATGCAGTGGAGACAACAGTGCATGCTCTATAATAGAACAGTAAGCCTAATTTGATGGTTGTTAGTAAGGATATTGTTAGCTCTTCACTAATTACTATTGGGACACAGAAGCTGTCAGATGCTACTGTGACACAGAAGCTGTCAGGTTCTGAGTCTATTGTACATGAGAGGGTACCTACTGTTGATGTTATTCATCTATAGAGCACTGTCCAATCTGGTGATTTCCCAACCCTATAGGTTTCTCTGAAGAAGAAGCAAAAGGGGAGGAAAAAGAGGTTACTAGTTCTTCAAGTAAATTGGAAGTTATAGCTAAGGGTACCAGGAAAGCCCGAGTGGCTTCTATGGGGGTAGCCATGCTGCTTAATGAAATAAAAACCAAAAAGAAAGATCACCTTGAGAAAGTCAGGAGCTCTGTGGTGAATTTGAGCACAGGTGTTAGTGCTCAGCTTGCTTACTCTTGATGATTGTCAGCTTCTGGAACGTTAGGGGGATTAATAACCCCCTTAAACAGATGAAGGTGTTAAAGAGATTACTTTCTTGTGAGGTTGATATCTTCTGTTTGATGGAGTCTCACATTCGAAGTGAGAATTCTTCTATCTTTACTACTACTCTGTTTGAAGAATGATATTTTGCTGAAAATTATGAATTTACTGAAGGAGATAGATTGTGGATCTTTTGGAGGAAGCACCTTTCATTTTCTGTTTTGAGATGTTGTGATCAGGCCATTTCTATCACTGGATCTATTAATGGGCATGTGACTATTATTACTGTTGTTTATGGCATTAACAGTGGTATTGTTAGGAGGAGCCTCTGGGAACAATTGAGTATAGTTGGGAAGGATATTGGTTCCTCCTCTTGGCTGATTGGGGGGGGACTTTAACATCATTGCCAAAGATGAGGAGATCTCTGATTTTGACATCATTGGGATCCACTGCACTTCTGATATGAAGGGTTTTCAAGACTGTATGGAAGACCTTGAGCTCATAGACCACCCTTTCCTTGAACCTTTATTTACTTGGTCCAATAAGCAAGAAGGCTCTTATATGGCTCGAAAGTTGGACAAAATCCTTGTCAATGATCAATGGCTGGTGGATTTCCCTGATTCGTTCGTTGAATTCAAGGCCCAGAGGGTATCTGACCATTGCCTTGGAGTACTGTGGACTCACAAGAGAGTTATGATCAAGAATCCTTGGCCATTCAATTTTTTTAATTTTTGGTCTGGTCATGAAAAATTCCTTGATACTGTTAGGGATTCTTGGCAGGGCCAATGTGGTGGGGATGTTATGTGTTGTTTGTTTAACAAGATGAAAATACTTAAGCCTATACTTAAGAAGATTAATTCAGAATATTTTGATGATATCTCTGGTAGAGTAAAAAATAAGAGGGCTGAATTGGGGCAGATCCAGATTTTCAATCTGGCTCACATTAACTAGAGGAAGATTGAAGAAGAAAGGAAGATCCATGCTGATTTAGTTTATTTGGAAGTTTTTGAAGTTGTTTTTTATAGACAGAAAGCCAAGGTTCATTGGCTAAGGGAGGGTGATTTGAATACCAAGTTTTTTCATCAGAGGGTTCACTCCAATAAGAAAAAGAATACAATTAGGGTCATTAAAAGTGAGAATGAGCAGTGCTATGACTCTTTTGAAGGAATGTCTACTGAGTTAGTGGGTTACTTCACTAACCTCATTGGCTCTTCTGATTCTCTAGTTAAAGGGTGTTCAGCTGAAGCTTTGAAAGATTTACTGAACTACTCTTTGCTTGAAGGTGTAGGCACCTTACTCACAAAGGAGGTGAGTGATTTGGAGATTAAAGAAAATCTTTTTAAACAAGAAAAGGACAAAAGTCCAGGCCCTAATGGTTATACTTCTGGCTTCTTTAAATCTGCCTGGAGCATTGTTGACAGTGACTTTATTTCTGCTGTGAGGTATTTTTCCATACTTCTTACTTGCTGCCTACTTTTAAAGATCCAATTTTAGTTCTGGTCCCAAAGTCCTTAAATGAATGTATGGAAAGGGAATTTAGGCCTATATCCTATTGTTCAATAGTTTACAAAACCATCACCAGAATTCTGGTTAATGGCTTACACCCTACCTCCCTGGCATGATATCCTACAACCAGTCAGCCTTTGTTAAGGGTAGGAGCATTGTTGATAATATCCTATTAGCCCAGGATATTGTGAAAGGATATTCTAGGAAAAGCCTATCTCCTAGATGTGCTGTTAAAATTGATTTGCAGAAGGCTTTTAACTCCATTAATTGGGACTTTCTACTAACTGTTTTTGAGGCTATGGGTTATCTTGAAATTTTTTGCAACTGGATCAGGGTTTGTATTACTACCCCAATATATTATGTTTGCTTGAATGGTAGTTTGGTGGGGTATTTCAAGGGGGCAAGGGGCATTAGACAAGGTGATCCTTTATCTCCTTACCTTTTTGTCATAGTGATGAATGTTCTTGCTGCTATGCTGAACAATGCTGCTAAGCATGGAATTTTTAGATTCCTTCCTAAATGTAGAAGAATCTCCCTAACTCACCTTAGTTTTGTTGATGATCTCCTTGTGTTCTGTCATGGTTCTCTTGAATTTGTCCTTGGTGTCCAATGCACCCTTGAGGGGTTTTATGATCTATCAGGTCTTAAGCTAAATGCTCTGAAGACTGAACTATTTTTCTGTGGGTTAAGTGGGAGTACCCTTGACCTGATACAATCTGTTACTGGCTTTAGAGTGGCTCAGTTACCTGTTAGATATCTCAGAGTTCCCCTAGTTACTCGGAAACTTACTAGTAAGGATTGTGTTGCTCTTTTGGTGAGAATTAAGGACAAGTTTTCTTAATGGTCTAGTAAAAAGCTTAGCTTTGGGGGTAGACTTCAACTGATCAAGACTGTTTTGTATAATATTTTCAATTATTGGAGCAGGCAGCTCATCCTTCCCAAGGGGATTGTCAGGGACATTGAGAGGCTATGCATGCGGTTTTTCTGGAAAGGCAGCGACTTTCCTTCCAGAGGAGCTCGTGTTGGATGGAATCAGATTTGTTCACTGAAATCTGAGGGTGGTCTGGGCCTTAGAGATCTCTCCTTGTGGAGTAAAACATCTTTCTTGTTGCTAATTAAAAATATTCTAGCTAATGAAGGTTCTATTTGGATAGCTTGGATAAAAGAATACTCTTTAAAAATGTGAGTTTTTGGGAGGTGGTTTGAAAAGGCCATTTCAGTTGGATTATTAAAAGTGTTGAATCGGTTATCCTTAATAGATTGTCTACTAAGTATAGGTTGATTTTATTTGGCTTGGAAATGGACAATGGCTATATTATGTGTGGCAACGATCTGGAAACCTGTGACCATCTTTTTGCTAATTGTTCCTTTGCTAAGGAAGTTTGGGATGCTATTCTTGTTGCTTGTAGGATTCGTTCTGGTCTGTACAGATGGGGTGAACGAATGCACTAGTTGGTTGATAACTTGAGAGGTAAGTCTCTCCGAGTGTGGATTTTAAAGCTCGCTTGGACTGTTTATTTGTATTACATTTGGGAGGAGCGTAACCATAGAGTTTTTAGGAGGTATTCGTGTTCAGTAGAAGCAATGTTACAATGATTAAAGAAACTATTAAATACAAATTTTATAGGCACTGTACACATAGAAGAGATGATATAAATAAGCACTTGTATATGAGTTGGGGACTGATATAGTGTTTACTGTTGTTTGTAGCAGTTTTTGCTGCTTTCTTTGGATGAATACAAGTTACTTATCTAAAAAAATAATATTATTTTATCAATTAAATATTAACTATTGAACGAATATCTTAATAGGCTTCTGTCAAAAACATATTTGCGCGGGTTTTAGGTTTGAGATGTTCAACAATCTCTTAGAGGACTTCAATAAATAAAATAGTAATTCAAATCAAGAGAAATAATAAATTGATGAAATTTGGGTACTAAATAATCCGAGAAAATTGATGAAGTAGGTAATATCCCACACCACAGGTCTAACCTGCACCCACAAAAAGTTTCTATTGTTTAAAAGAATTACCCCCTTACAAACGGATTATGTATACATGTAAAAGACAAAATAAAAGGTGTACATGTGAAACCTGAATAGCTGATAAAACAAATGATTCATTAATATTCAACATCAACCTATTCTAAAGATTAGTGTGGGATCTTGTTGGTCCCGGATCATGCCTTCAATTTTCCAAGGCTCATTGGAGTCTCTTCTTGTAGCCGATCATTGTGGTCTAAGTATCCATACGAAGATGGAGGGGTTAAAAAACCTACGGCCGCATCGAATTCTTCCGCGACGTCGCCATTCCGACACTATCTTGTGAAGGCAATGCCAAGCTAGAAAGCGAATTGTCGATGGAGCTAATAGATGGAGGACCAGAAGGCCATTGAAACACTGGCTTGAATGGAGGCACGATAGGGACCGGCAGGGTTCCGTTCATAATTTGAAAGATGTCTCGAGTTTGAGGCCTTTCTGTAGCAATTGGATGTGAACAGGCCAGCCCCAAAAGTAACAACCTCGTCGCTTCGTCAACATTGAATTCACCGTTGAGGCGTTCATCGACGACTTCCATGAGTCTCCTTCCGCGGTGCAACATCCAAACCCAATCGACTAAAGTATAAAGATCGTGTTGGTGTGGGATCTTGATTCCAGGATGTTTGCCACAAACAACCTCGAGCACAACTGCCCCGAAGCCGAAAACATCGGATTCGACCGTTGCTCTCCCCGTATGAAAGCACTCAGGGGCGACATAACCCATAGTACCAGGGACACCAGATAACCCGAGCTCAGAATAGGAATGTCTTTCGTTTTCAAGGGCTCGGGCGAGACCAAAGTCACCCAGCCGTGCATTGTAGTCGAGATCAAGCAAGATGTTGCTGGGCTTGAGGTCTCGATGCACCACCTTTTGATCATACTCGTTGTGCAGGTAATGCAAAGCTGATGCAATACCTGTAAGTATCTTGTAACGATGAGTCCAATTCAGAGTGCCCTGCCTGGATTTGCCATACAGGTGGTCATCCACGCTGCCGTTTGGCATAAAATCATACACTAGTAGGAGCTTCCCTTTCTCGTAGCACCATCCTGAACATGGAAATTTGATCCACACTTCTTATTAATCTTATAATCACACGTATCAATCAAATTTAATAAATATTTGTGAAATCAATTATTTGATACGTCTTAAATTTTACTCTTTTAAAATTTATTTGAAAAACTAGTACTTTACCCTTCACATATTACATCCACACTATCTAACACGAAAGCAGATTGATATATTCATCTTTTACAAGATCAACATTTGAATTAAAATAGAATTTCTATATTTACGGTTAAATTAGAATAAATATTTCATTATTATATTTATATATCAATTAAATATTAAAGTTAAATTGAGTTTCAAAGGCCTAACAGTCCGTCATTCCCTAATTAATTTAAGCACAAATTCATGATTTTTTTATTTATAATTAAATAATAATATTAAATACTAAATCCTTGAATATTAACTGCTACTAAATCTTAAAGCTAGATACCATAAAATTTAAAATATTAAACTCTAATAGTAATTTTTTAAAATATATAAAATTTAAAAACTAAACTCTAAATTCTAATTATTAAATTTTAAGTTTTAAAATATAAATATTTAATATTTAATCTAACAATTGATAGATATTTTGAATAATTATAAAAATTGAACTAAAAAATGGTTTAAATGGCCAAAAACTTATTGAGTTATTATGTGGTTAAAGAGAGTATTATTCTTTTTTAAAGTAATAAATTAAAATAGTTACATATGTAATATATATATTATTAATAGTTAAAAAATTATTAACATATAATTACCTAAAACTGACAAAGTCATTGGTAACTCACGGACCCATTGTCTATCTAAACTTAGTTGTAAATATTAGATTTAATCCTATTTTTTTATTATTTATTTGTTTGGAAAGGTGGGTGGGTGGGTGGGTTTAGGAGGGGCTACACATAGGGATGGGCATGGACTGGTTTGGGTCAAGTTTCGGCCAACTGACTCGATCCAAAAATTGTACATTCTTCACTCGATTTGACCCGATAAATATTATCCTTCACTTAATCTAAACTCGACTCGAATTTTTTTGATAAAATTTGAATTTGATCTGGCCTGATCTGAAATAATAAAAAATATTATTTTATTCAATAAAAACATTAATTTAATTGTGTGTGTATATATATATATATAAAAGTATTATTGTAATTATTCTTAAATATATAAGATAAAATTATATTTTTTTTGGGTTGGGTTGAGTATTTTTCACCCTAAACTCTAATCCGACCCGACCCGACCCACACATCACCCTTTTAAAAAAACCAGACCCGAAACTGATATTTTTAAAAAAGAAAACCAACCCGATCAGGTCAGAACCCGTTAGATTCGGGTCCCATTCCCATCCTTAGCAACACATTGGATAGATATCTATATACAAGTATGTTTGCATATGGCAACTTGCACGTCATGGTTAATAAATACTACTATATATGTGACCAATGGCACGTCATCATTAATAGAATAGTAAAAGAAAATCCAGGACATTAGATTTGGAGAAGCACCAACTATTTAGTTTCCAAATTGGCGCATATCATTTTCAAAGTTAATGGATTAGTATGGAGTATTAAAAAAAATAAACAAAGAAGGAATTTACCAACTAAGCGGACGAGATTTTTATGGCGGATCCGATGAATGATGGCGAGCTCGGCCAGGAAATCATCCTTCCCTTTAATACTATCCCTTAAGAACTTTTTGACAGCCACCTGGACGCCTTGGTTGTGACTGTTGAGATGGAGGACGCCTTTGTAGACTATTCCAAACCCACCTTCCCCAAGCTTCATGCTCTCATCGAACTTATTGGTGGCCTTCTTCAATTCCTTGTACCTGAACTCTCTGGGCATCCCAGGCAACCATTTCAACTTTCCGAACCGACCATCTCCCTCCTCATTCCGCCTCTTTCTCCTCCTCCTCCTCATGTACCACCACACAGTGGCAAGTACCAAGATCGTGATTGTCACCAATGGGATGCCTATTGCCAGACCAATCATCACCCCTTTCCCTTCTTCTTCCCTGGGAATCATATCTATGTCCAAACTCCATTGCCACACGCAGTTCAACTCGATCTCTGGATAGCCTGTTGAACCGGTGAACCCGAAGAAGGAATCTTGTTTCACGTATTCTTTCAGGTCGATGGTGTCGTAGAGAATGGGATTTGAGGGCCTGGATTCCCCTTGTCTCGCCATGTAAACTTCCATGACCTTCGAGGTACCATTGTAATCAACCCAGACTGAGTAATTGGTGCCGACGTGAGGTGATAATGTAATATTATAATCGTTGAGAGAAGCAACTTTCTTTGACTCCACGGAGTTGATGTTTAGCCCGATATGGTTGTCATCTGGGTCGAGCTCCAGATCCGGCTGCCTTAGGGTATCAAACTCGATAGCCACGATTTGGTTGTCGGCGCTACCATCGGTGGAGGCGCTTGTGAGACCAAGCCATTGACCGTAACTAAACTCCGGCATGGCTGAAATATTGGGGGCGATGAGAAAAGCAAGGCCATGGCCGGCTCTCTGGCTCCCGGTCCTGAAGATATTGATGACAAAGGAGGAGGTGAAAGAAGCCAATTCGTGGTTTGAAGACCAAAGCCTGAAGGGTTCGTTGAACATAATGCGACCGGATTTGTTGTAGAGGATGGAGAGCACGTTGGGGTTGGAGGTGTCGGGCGTTAGCTGAAGAGCTCCGAATTGAATTCCGGAATAGCCGCCCATGAAGGTGAGTGATGAATTTTGGCTATCGATGAAGCTATCAAAATGAATCGGTCTTTCCCTCTTGAATGAGGCTGCGGTTAGATGCAAAAGGCTGAAAAAGATTATCAACATAGTTCGGATGGAATTTCCATTTAACAACATCATCTTCTTCAAGCTTTAGCTAAATATTTCAAATCACTGATGGGAGCTTTATATAGGGCGAAAAGTTGCAGGGGAAAAAAAAGGAAGGAGAGGAGATTAAATGAAAGCTAGGTGATCCATCTCTTACGTATTAGTGTATATATTAAAAAAAAAAGGTAAGCTTTCCCCTCCGTTGTTTGACTCCCTCCTCACCATCCCATTATTTTCATTTTCCACAAAAAAATCTGATGTATAATCACAAATTTTATTTCCACATTTGTACGAATACTCCATTTATTTTGTCTTATATTCCCTTTGTCTAATAATTTAATTCTCAGCATTTAATTTTTTATTAAAATAAATATTATTATAGGCAATCGCTAATTAATTAACGATCAACATATATTATTATAGGCAATAAAAAATGAAGCAAGTCACCGACGAAACGTCGATCACAGGTCTCCTTCTATAAGAGGAAAGATTTTAAACCCACACTTACGAAAAATGGTGTAATTACACTATATGTCCTCTAAATTTAGTATTTTTTGAATTTTTATTTGAATTTAATCAAAATTTCATTTTTGTCCTTAAATTTAATTAAAATTTCAATTTAATCCTCAGAATAATTTTAAGAAAAAAATTTAGGCCCTAAGTTGAGGTGTGACAAATACAAAGTTAAGAGACTAAATAAAAAAGAAGAGTACACTTTTAGTATAAAAAAGAAGAAGAAAGAATTGAAGTTACATAGGTATTCTATTGTGGTATATGAACATGTTGTTTAAATTGGTAAAAAAAAGACTTAAAATAAAAGATGAATTGAAGAAATTAGGTAATTATGAAAAATTGAGGGACTAAATTGAAAAATTAAAAAATTATTATAAAAAAATGAATTAAAAGAACATATGTATTCTACGGTGGTTTAAGTGCATGTGGTTCAAATTTGATAAAAATAAATTTAAAATGAATGAGAAAATGCAAGAATAATGAAATCAATAATTAAATTGTAAAACCGTCACAATACTTAGTCAAATTTTTAGATTTTTAACTAATTTAAAATTTTAAAATTTCAACTCGATTCGAACTCGAAAACCGAATTAATAATTTGAATTGACTCAAATAAATCAAAATTGAAAAAAAAAATAGCATTTCAAAGTCTAATCGAATTTTACTATACCCTAATTGGAATCCTTTTTTTGTTGCTTCCCATGGAAGAAGAGTTAGGCAGACTAGGTCTGGCGGATTGGTGGGGTTAGATTTTGGATAAAATCGTTTCTTAAGTTGTCGTATTTGAATTTTTATTTTTATAATTATGAATGTTTTTTGTTTTAATTTATTTAAAAATAATCTATTTTAGAGAGAGAGAAATTATTCAAACCTGAGTACAATCAAATCAAGCAATGAACTTTAAGTTTTTTTAAACAACCAATTCTTTCGTGAACTTATATGTGATATTCTTTTCATATTGCAATTAACACAGCTTTTTGGAAATTTAATTTTTTTCGTTGCATAAAATAAAGTTAAGATTAAATGGTATTTTGAAACTGGAAGTTTCATCTAATTACCCTCAAATTGTGCCCCATTTGTGCTTCTTACTCAAAAATGCACTTTCTAATTTAAAAATTTTGCACTTTTTATTATAGATGGACTTTTTCTTTTTAAACTTTATTACAAAAAAATTAATAATAATAATAATAATAAATAGGAAACAAAATAAAATAAATCAGTTTATATTATTTTAATTCAGAATCAAACATTAATAAAAATAATTTATATTATGATAAATTACATGTTTAGTCAACACCTAATTATGTGATTTTATTTAAATCACTCAATTATCTTTTTAAAATCACATTTAATGTTAGATTTGGTCACCATCATTAAAAAAGCTAACATTACTGTTGACATAATAATTTTTTACTATTAGTATTATTTCCACTTTATTATTTTTTAATTAATTTTAATCAACCAATAAACTGGTAACATATGTTTCATATATTAGATACGTTCACTACTACTTAGGTGGTTAATTTTGTTGCTGCTCTTTTATTACATCCAAAGTTCCCTACTTATTTACATTAGTGAGGATTGTGAGTAATAAAAATAGCGAGAATGGACTTGGGGAGTGATTTGAATAGTAGTTATCATTTGATAATTTTATACATCTATTATTCTTATAAAATGGACAGTCCACTGCATAATTGGCACACATAATTAATGGTCTCATTCCTTTCTTTTTTGGAAAAAAAAATTGTTTCAAAGAGACCAACACAAATGAATTTATTTATTTATTTTGGGTATACGAAGTCTAAAAGGTTTTGTTAACCTTTGGGAGATAACTTCCATTATAATGACTATCAATTCGGACAAGATTGCTTATGAGGCGATACCTTCTATCTCTTTTTTATTATTTTGTTATAACTTGCTAGTTGCCGATACATTTACTAATAGATTCCTCTCACATTTTAGTGTAGCTCTGCCCTTTGTTGATGTCATAAGGTATTAAATATAAATATAGTTGTTCTAGTAAGATAAGACATTAGACCCTTTAAATAAGATCAAGAATTTAAAATTTAATATTATGAATGAAATAAACTAGATGACTCCTAAATATACCTTTATATTATCTAATTCAAATTAATTAGTTAATACAAATAAAAAAGAAGCACTTATCTTTTAGATATATATCATTTTCAAAGGCGATAATTTGAAGAAGTGCAATACTGAAATTGTTGAATATGGAAGTTAACTGGGAATATAGGGAGAGAAAATCAAAGGAATTGAGTTATTTTACTCCAAATGGATTAAAGAATTGAGAAGCTTCCAAGCATGCACATATAGCTTTGTTTTCAAAATTCAAACTGGAGAAAAGCCATCCACTATACTATTCAACTTTTCAATCTCAACCATAGGAAACGGAGAGAGAGAGAGAGAGAGAGAGAGGGACAGAGGCCTTGATTCCTGGAAGATGCTTAACATAGACTTTCGAGCATACTGGTCCACACTTTTTTTTTTGACTGAAAATACAATAAAAAACACATAAATTACACGTTTAGTACCTTAACTGTTAATTTTACTCTGTTTTAGTCATTTAACTATTTTTTCAAAACATAATTATTGTTTAGTTTTGATTTTATTTTATTTTGGTCACCCACCGTTAAAAAAATTAACATAATTATTGACGTGGCATTTTTCAATGATGACATTAATATTATCTTATGGTGACATACCAATACCACCTTTAATTTTTTAAATGCGTGTGATCAAAATAAAATCAAAACCACACATTTTACATTCGGTATGATTTTGAAATAAAAAAATGGTTAAGTGACGATCACAAGGGATAGTTGGGATACTAAATGTGTAGTTTACCCTTATTATTGTAAACTACATGTTTAGTATGATTCTGTTACTTTTATTCCATTTTGACACCTAAACTTTATTTTATTCTAAAATCATACTTAACACTTAGTTTGAGTTTCAATTTGGTAATCTTACATTAAAAAATTAACAGAACTGTTGACGTGATTTTTTTTTTCAATGGTGACATGTTAGCACCACCGTTAATGTTTTAACCGTGGGTGACCAAAATGAAACTAAAGCTAATCATTACGTATGATTTTGAAACAAAAATAGTTAAGTGATCTAAATGGAACAAAAGTGATAGTTGAGATACTAAATGCAAATTTACCCTAAAATACTATAAGCACTCTCTATATATTTAATTTTGGTATTCATCCTCTATCTATTTTTCTATCTTCACCACTTTTTTATGTTTATATTTTAAAAATGAAATGTAATTTCTTAAATTATGTCGTTTAATCTCTTTAATAAAAAAATTACCATACCTTTAATGAGTTTGTATTTTTTCATTTGATGTTTAATATTTTGGATTATAAATATATATGATTGATATTTATATAAACATATTTATATTAATGATAGATTAAGTTGATATTACTTATTAATCGAATATAAATTTAATTAAAATTAGTTTTATGAATGATAATTAATATTATTATAAATATGTTTTTATTTTTTTCGACTCATCTTTGTCCATTAAAAACATAAATAACAAAGTTCAAGATAAAGTCGTGGTTACTTTGCTCCCAAGAGTAATAAACAAAAACTTCATTAAGTAATTACACAATTGAATTATTAGAATAGGATGACTCTCAAAACTTTTCTAAATTTGCTTGTGAAATTCAATGTTGAAAATTAACGCATAACATTCATAATATAAAAACGAACTGATGACGTTCAAAAGTGCCAATGACTCACGAAAGAATCGTGGTTAATTAATTAGACAAAAGACAAGAGGGTTAACACCTAAAGTCAGAAACAAAATATAATAATATATACTATATTAATCTTACATATAATAATATATAATATATTAATCTTACTTTTTCTTTTCTTAATTAAAAATAATTTATTATTATTATTATTATTATTATTATTATTATTATTATTATTATCATTATTAGCAGCAACAACAACTTTTAAATAATGATATGACCATAGAAGGATAAAAATAATCCTAGAAATCATAGTTTTTGAGGAATAGGGAAAGCTCTCGTTGCACGTTAGTGGGTCTTCTGTTGTTTGTCGGCGTTTTTCGTTGTTCCTTGTTTTTTTATGTTCGTCTTTGATTGTTTTACTCGTGGCCGATGGATTGAAATCCATAATGCACATATTTATAATATATATTATTATTATAAAATATAAATAAATTAAGTGACCAATTATGTTATAATACTTAGCAAACTTAGACAATTTCTAATCAAGTCCCCTAGTTTTTGTTAAGGCATTTACTCATTCATTAAGCATATTTTTACTCCCTTTTTACTGATTTTTTTTCAAATGCTGCTACGAAGGGAGTCAGCTCATCACACCTACTCTCCCACACTCTAGGTGAAAGGGAGCATACCTTCCATCCTGAGCTAGTTAAGTAGAGTCATCCCGTGACTACTTTCATTCACTCATATGCACGAGGCTGCCATTTATTAAAGAGAGTTCCATGCAATGCCACAGCAAAGAGGAGTGTCCCTCTACAGCTATGCCTAAGCATTTATTCACAGTCTCATATATAA